CCCCATTTCAGTAGTCGGTATGGGTGCATATATAAGTAATGGACAGAGAAGATGTACAACCTGGCAAAGAGTTTGACCATGTGGCAAGCGATGCGGGAAAAAAAAAAAGGTTTACCACTGTGGAACTTGCAACCGCAAATGTCGGAGAATTTTGAATAGAACGTCGAAGAATTTGATACGAAAGGATGATGACATCAATACCCCAAGGTTTTTGAGGGCCAGCTGTCTGTCACATCGCGCAAACGTCGAAGGTCCAAATGCTTCCAGTAAGGAATATGATGTGTTTGCTTTGCAACTCGAGAATCGCGGCCCTAGACACGCTGTGGTCTGCGATTGTGGGTGCAGCGTGGGCCCAACCAACGCCTTGCCTACCCTCTTCCCCTGAGCATAATGCACCCCGGTTCCGAATGTATACAAGTTATCCTTCCAATCTGAAAAAACATGCATGATGAAGGTGCATTTAAGTTGTGGCCAGGGGAGAAGGTTTTCAATCAGCATGGCTTACTATAGAGTGATTGGTTCTGACAACAAACCCCAACCACATCATCAGGAAGGGAAAGACTCACCGGATCCAAGAAAAACAACATGGCAACAACACGGACTCCTCGCAACAATGAGAAGAAGCTAAATTGCCAGATTAGACGAGAAGAGGGTGTTTCCACATGACGAGAAAGATAAACAACATGGCCACAACAGGGGACTCCCTGCAATGACAAGAAGCTGAAGTGCCAGACGAGAAGAGGGTGTCTCCGCTTGACATGAAAGATAACCAACATGGTGATAACACGGACTCCCTATAATGACAAGAAGCTGAAGTGCCTGATGACAACAGAGTGTCCGTGCATGACTATTTTCAGAAATCAGATCAATTGCTTTGCTCTACGTTATTTTGATTTTCAGCAAATCTGTGGATGAGCAAATGAAACACCTTGAGGAAGTTCTTGAGATGATTAAGGAAGCACAGTTGCATCTCAACTTGGAGAAATCTGAGTTTGTGAGAGACAGTGTCATCCATCTTGGGTACCAGTTGTCTGCTAGGCCTTGAGCCTGAGGCAACCAAGGTTGAGGTCATCCGCAATCGGCCTCGACCAGTGAACGTTCGAGAATTGCGTTTTTTTCTTGGTCTTGCATCATACTACCGAAAGTTTCTCCCAAAACTTTCTGTCATTGCTCACCAATCGCCGAGACTAACTAGCGAGAATGTACCTTGCATATGGAATGATCCATGCAAGACCACTTTTCAAGCCTTGAAAGAGGCTTTGGTCAGTCATCCTGTGCTCCGCATTGCAGATCCCAAACTCACAGTCCTAGTTATTACGGATGCAAGCCAATATGGGATTGGCGCAGTGCTACAACAAGATGATGGTGATCGCTTGCATTCGCTTGAGTACTACAGCAAACTCATGCCCAGCAACAAGGTACCTACTTCCACATACATGCGCGAGCTCTATGCCTTGAGGGAGGTTTTGGACCATTGGAAAAACAATCCCTTGCGTCGCCACTTCAAAGTCTATTCAGATCATGAGACTTCGCAGTGGATAAAGTCACAAACTAACCTTTCCACAACTCTGACCCATTGGTTGCATGAAATTGATATTCATGATTCTGATCCGAAACACAAGAAAGGGTGTTACAATCGAATTGCTGATACTTTGTCTTGTCATCCCGAGTATTTAACTTGCCTTGTAAGCCCCTACAACCTCCGGAAGAAACTGACTGGCAAGTTGGTAGAGCGCACTGCCAAGGATCCAGACTACGGCCCCATCCTTGAGCAGCGCAAGGCTGACCACAACAGTCAGCCTGATTTTCAGGCGTGTGAGGGTCTATTTTTCCGACGCTACTGAAAGTGTGCCCGATTGTGCGTACCCGATCATGAGCCTCTCCGAACTCACCTTTTGGACATGGTACATGGTCAGAGTGGGCACGTCGGTTTCGAGAAGACTTGCGGAAGTCTTTTGCAGCAATTTGATTGGCCTGGAATGAAAGGATCTGCTAAGAAATTTGTACCTGAATGTCAAGTCTGCCAATGGATCAAGATCCACAGGCAAAAGCCTTACGGCCTGCTGAAACCTCTCCCTATTCCTTCCAGTCGCGGAGAGTCAGACCCTACAACCTATCAGGGTTAAAAGTTGTTGCCGCAGCAATGAACAAGCGCCAGCAAGCCATGATCAAGTTCGCTAACAAGAAACGCAGACCTGCAACATATCAAAGAAACAGATTATATCTGGGTTAAAATGTCTGAGTTTTCACAAGAAGAGGGAGAGTCTCATAAACGTTTTCCGCTATAGTATGGTCCTTGGCAGATTCTGAAGGTGGTAGGGGATGATGCATTTGGTCCTCCATATGTGATTGACTTGCCACCTAATCTACCCACGTGTCCGGTCTTTCACACATCTAAACTGCATCCGTACGTTGCTGCTGAATCCTTTCCCTATCGTGGACCTATGATCCCTCGTGATATCGACAGCGGTCATGAAATCGACAGAATTGTTCCACACACAGGAAAAGGGAGAAACAGACAATATCACGTTCACTTTTTATATCATCCGTTGGACGAGCTTTACTGGATCTCTACGAAAGGCTTACTGCAGAATGCACCTCGTGTCGTCAACGTGTAGGATCGGCACATAGTTGCCAGATAGAAGCCCGGAATCTCTACAACACTAACTGCCTACGAGCATACAACAGCTCTCTTTGCAGTATGCGCTTACGATGCATTTTGCAGTGACTCAGATTGAGTTACTTGCTCGAAGGGACCTGACTCTTGAGAGAAGAAAGGGGCGGGGGGGGGGGKAATGACCTGCAAAATCACAGACTGAGAACTCTGCTGAATTCTGAGTTTTGCCGGTGGAATGTGTGCCTTGCTGAGATTTCTAAGTCTGTGTGTGAGCGTGCTTGCTGGTTCCCGTATGCCTGGCTAAGTGCATGACTGCTTGAGTGTGCGTGTGACCCGCCAGGTACTTGTATGTTTGGGAGGCCCTCGGGGTACCTGTGGCCGTGACAGGGTTGCAGCGGGGAAACACTCAAGAAGCGGTAGGCTAGCACTCAAGTAGCGGTAGGGTAGGCCCGCGCAGCTTAGGGTGAGTGATAGGCCGACAGAAGAAGACAAAAAAGTTAGTACCTTTAGAATGCAAGTGAATTTCGAAATCCTGTTGGTACCAGTCCAGTAGTCTGAGTCTAGGGCCTGTAGCAGACAATATCAGACCTGCAATCATGTTTCCCTTCGAAAAGAGGATAATACCAGTTGCTTGGGAGGTCACTGCCCAAGAGGCAAGCCGCTGGGTATATCTCACGGGAGGATCAATGAGCTCCTCATTTGCAGTGTGCAAGTTTGGGCGTCTTGCTGCTGGAGCGCTAGGGGAAAGAGTGCTGGTGTTGGAAGCGCTGGGAGAGAGGAACACCTGGCCCTCCACCTTCGACTATGGTGGAGTGGACCAGGTAGGAGGAGGAGGAAGAAGGGACTTGGAGGAGAGTGGCAGAGGTACTTACCTGGGTATGGTGAACAACATCTATCTCCACGGTTGGGCTGCACCTGGGAGGCCCCAGTGGGGATGCGCTGCTACAAGCAGGCTTCAGGGAAGAGTTAGGCATGGCCGTCTGAGTAGTAGGGGACATATCTGCTGTTGGTCCTTTGAACATTAGGACTGGGCCCCACTAGTCCGCCATACCCACCACCATTCGGAGGTAGTAGTAGGTGTAGGTCGTGGCTATGGTGGACCTCATTGGTTGTTGGCAGTAAGGAGGAGATTCGGACATTGGTTCTGGTTCAGTCATTCATTGTTGTTCTTATTATCGCTTTCCAGCAGGTGATGCTCCCCACCAATAGATAAAGCTTTTTTATTAATTAAAAAAAAAGGGAGGGATTTGCCATTGGTCTTGCTGGTGTACAGCTTCTCCTTGTTCTTCTTTCTTTCTTCTTTCTTCTTTCTTCTTTTCTTCTTTCTTCTTTCTTCTTTCTTCTTCTTCCTTTTTCTATCTCTTTCCAAGTTCTTTCATTTCATTTTGCACTTCGGAGTAGCCAGGATCATAACAAATTATGGATATTATGTAAATGTAAATTCCGTAAGCCAGTGTAACAGTAATAATATGGACTTCACACTTTTTATTGACCAATTCTAAAAAGTCTAGAAATAAAGAATCCGTAATACAAAATCGGCATGAAACAACCAGTACAAGCCCCCTCCTCCGGGACTTCTGGTGATACACAAAGGGGCCGCGGTTTCGATGTACATTCTGGAGGGAACCGGTTCAATTCGTCCCGGTGCAAAAACTTCACATCTGCCAATTTACGGTCCGACATCCTGGCGCTTTAAATAAAGCAGGTACCAAGATGCGTGCAAACTCCCACGGATATCGATGTCATGTGAACTTTCCTGTTATAAAGACATTAGACCGACAATCTCTCCTTATCGATCTCTTCTTAGAAAAAAAAAAGAAAAAAAGGGGAAAAAAAAAGAGTGACAACCTCTTGCTGTGCAACAAGGCGAGAGGCCAAAGGGGGGGGGGGGAAGAAAAAGAGAGGACAAACTTAGAAAAACAAATTCCATCTCATCAAAATATATAATACAAGTGGTCCCCGGAATGTCCAGAATAGTTCTCCGGATGTCACTCAGAAAGCTGTCACAGGAGAACACACGGAAGAAACGATCCTATGATGAGTGGCAAACCAACAAAAAGTTGGGGGAAGTTGAGGGGAAAAAAACGGGTTCAAAAACTGCCATATACGGTCCACATAATGTCTCACACGAAGGTCTCTCGGGTCTACTCCTGATGTCACTCAGAAGCTGTAACAGGAAAACAGAAGGAAGCAATGATTCTATGTTGAGTGGCAAACTAACAAAAAAATAAAATGAAGAAACGGTTCAAAAACCGTCACATCTCGGCAACGAAATGCCTCAGACGAAGGTCTCTCAACGGCAGAGAAGATATCCACATCATGTGTACACATAAGGCGAGTGATAAACTACAAAAAAAAAAAAGAGGAGGAAGAACACTTTTGACAAACTCGGGCATTCACGAACTCGCACTCCCCTCGGGCGTACACAACAAACAACCAATTCGAAAACAAAATGAATCCGACTACTCGAACCAAAAACGGAAGAAGTTCAACGAGCATCGACTATAAACCCCAGATGTCAATCATCATAAGCATTAAAAAAGGCAATAAAGTTGTGAATAGAAGTACAGAATCATATCTGCATCTACAATCCTATCTACAAGAGGCATCCTCAAACGCATGAAAGAACTACCTAAAATACACGAAGTCCTGTCACTCGAAGCGTGTGGATTTAAGTCGCTGCCAGCCTGCTCTTCATGGTGCCTCAGTGACATTGCTGACTGCATCTTGTGTCTATTCCAAAGGGACAATACCTCCTGCAACATGCATGCCCTCATCACCATCAAAACTGTCTGCTACCCACTGCTCGAATCCGTTGCCTGTCAGGCCTCCAATATCCTCTCCACTGGCATGTGCAGTCTCACCGTCGCCCTCGGCCATAGCCCCTCTGTCTCCCTGTATCCCCCCATACGCCAACTCGTCACATGCAGGAGCGCATGCAACCTCCTCCCTGTGTCTGTCAATGTCTCTCTCCTGCACCTGCACGGCCAGGAGGCTGTTAGAACACCGATGAATGCCTGCCATGTCAACTGCTGCCTCGTGCAATGCATCAGCATCGGACACTTCTCCCTCCCCAGTGTCACCCTCGAACATGGCCTCTCCGTCCCCTCTCCCCTGACCATTCCCAAGACCATCATCATCACCGCAAGGCACGTCACTCATCCTCTCTCCACCATCTGTTTCTGCTCCTCCACCGAGAATCGTCACCTTGCACGTTGCCTTGTTGTGACCAGGCTGCAAACAGCGAGTGCATTTTTGGCTCCTCGTGCCTCTCTCCAGAATGCTCTTGACGCCACTCCCACACGGACGACCCCTCGGCCGCCTTGTGGTTGGCGGTCTGATGATCGCCTCCTCTGGAAGTGCCTGACGACCGTCCACAAACTCTGTTGGATGAATACTACCTTCATAGGATGCTCGCAATGCTCGAATGGTGTAGAACTCGTCACAATGCAGGTCCAAGTCCTGTGATGAATGCATGAGCGCAGCAGCTGCATGTGAGCAAGGTCTCCTTGTGTCACGCCAGACACCACATGAGCAAGACCGTAATGCAATATCAACAGTGTACGCAAAGCGTCGTCCAGCGGAGCGGTCACTGCTTGATACCTCGTACACGTCATCACCTATCGACACAACATTGCAATGCCGTGCATGCACTCTCGCCTGTCTCAGCAGCTTTGCCACCTTGGGGGGCAAATATCCATCATACCCTGCCGCCAAATCCCTCCTCTCTTGAAACCAGCACTGCAACACGGAGCGAACAGCCTCGCAGAGACCAATGGGAGTGAGCTGTCGCACATCCGTGAACATGTTGTTCATGAACTCAGCAGCAGACGATGTCACGTGGCCGTAGCGACACCCTGGAAACTGAGATGTCGCCCAATATCCCGGAGGTACAGCACCGAACACCTTCCGGATAACATGAGAATCTTTTGAACGCGCCTCAATCTCTGCAATCGCTCGATCAAACTCCACGGCATTGCCTGCTCTCGCTGCACTCATGATGAGATCTGCAAAACCATCGACCCTGACCCTTTTGGCGAGGCTGTTGATGATATAACGAACGCAGAAAGCATGATGGACATCACCGAACACCTCCTGCACAGCATCCAAAAGACCCTCCTCTCGGTCCGACATCAGAGTCATGGTGCGATGGTCAATCCCCACAGTCTCAAATGCCTGAACAAGTGACCGCAAGAACCACGTCCAATGGTTGGAGTTCTTGCACGGAACAATGGCATATGCAATTGGAAAGCATTGCCCACAGGCATCCCTCCCGGCCACCCCCAGCAGAACAGAAGGGTAAGGACCAGGGGTGTGAATGCCGTCCAGCATCAACAATGGCCGACAGTGCACAAAACCACGAAGGCAAGCACCGAAAGCAACGAAGAACCGGAGGAATGTGTTTCCCTCACACTCGAGGGATGTGAAGGAGCCCGGGTTGGTCGACAGGATCAACCGCATATACGTGCGCAAGTAAGCAAACCCTTCCTCAGGACGCCCTGCCACACGACTCAATGCGATGTCTCGTGCACGAAGACATGTCCTGTATGAGAGTGTGACACCGCACTCACGCTGTAGGTCTATCCTAATGTCACTTGGCGAGTAAGTAGGTCGTGAACGGATCTTCTCCTCGATCATGTATGCTGCCCATCGAATGCCTGCATGTCGATTGCAGGGCTTGTCGGGAGCCCTGCAACCCTCGTGGTGCGATGTGGCCTCCATGACAGTGGCCTGTCCCCCTAGCCCCTTTGAACGTGCCTCCAAGCGCCACTGACATTGCTCAAATGTGCAACACGCCATAAATTTGGTCTTTGTCGAACGTAGAGTCTTAAACTCAAAGCCTGTTGCCACAGCATAGTGTCGAACCGCAGCACGCAGTGCATCCATGCTTGGATAGCGGTCACCCTTAGCCATATAGAATGGTAGCTGATGCGACACATCCTCGTCACCCTCAGGACGCGCAGAAAACTCTGGGTCGCTCACCTCATCATCTGATGGGTAAGCTTCAATCCCCAAGGAGGGTCGTCTCTGCAGATAATCACCTGTCTTCTGCTTTGGGGAAATGGTGGGAGGGAGGGGCACATGAGCTGGAGTCTTCGAATCTCCACTACGGCCACTGCACCCAGCTGAACAATGCGCACCTGTGTCAGCCTCTGGAAGGCCAGTGGTGCGAAATAAATCGAACGCATGGACACGAGCAATGTCCTCATCCGTATAGATACGTGTCTGTGATGATGCCCCCTGCATAGGACGGTCCTCAAAATCACTGTTTGGAGGAACATCTGCAGGAAGGGGGCCAGACAGTTGTATACCGTCCACAAGCTCAGTTGACATTGGACCGCTTGAAACAGGGGAGCCACACGCAGGTACAGGGACCTGGCAGCCGCCTGCAACAATAGGGGCCTGGCAGCCGCTGGCAATGAGGGGGGCCTGGCAGTCGCCTGCAACAAGGTGGGCCGGGCAGCTGCCTGCAGGGAGGGGGACCTGGCAGCCGCCTGCAGGGAGGAGCGGGCCTTGGCAGTTGCCAGCAGGTAGGGGGGCCTGGTGGCTGCCTGCAGGGACGGGGGCGTGAGAGCCGCCTGCAAGGAGGGGGGCCGGGCAGCCACCTGCAGGGAGGGGGGCGTCACGACTGTCTGCAGGGAGGGGGGTGCCGGAGCCGCCTGCAGGGAGCGGGACAGGTGAAGGCTGCGCGCCACCCACGAGCCCTGTCAGACTTGGGTTGCCCGTTGCAGGGAGACCGCCTGCAGAGAGGGGCGCAGGTGAAGGTCGCACAGTGGGCAGGAGATCCATCGCCACCGAGCTACCAGTCCCGGGGGAGGTGGACGAGGGTGCAAAACCTGCTGCCCTAGCCACAGCAAGCTCACGCTCGAGCTCAAGCACCCGTCTCTCCAACTCCTCAGAAGTGCGCTGAGCCTGCAGAGATGGACGTAGCGCAGAGGTATTCCAACCGTCTGGTCGCACGATAGAATGCTGAGGAGCTGCTGATGCCGGAAACGCGGAGTGTGGACTACATCGAGGAAAAGGAGTAGGCTGGGAGAGCAATGGTGCTGAGAATGCAGAACGCGGAGAGGGCATAAACAATGACAGTGGGGGGTGAGTGTCGCGACCGGATGACTGGCATGGCTCCTGCGGTCTATGCACAAGAGCAGCAAAGCGGCTCGCCACGTATGATGTGACACCATGCATGATGTCCCTAAAGAGGTCAGATGACAATAATGTCTGTGCAGGAGAGACAGTGCCTGTCGGTGTGACATGCTGCGCAGCAACATGAGGTGACGAAGATATGAAAGCATCATCACTGGGGGATGGCAAAGAGTGTGATGAAGGAAGTGGCTGTGCCGCTGGGGGGATGGGTGCAGAGCTGCAAGGCTGGGTGGTGGACGTGGAAGGCCACTCGGCAGCACTGTCGGACAGGAAAGGAGGGAGTAAGTCATGCGGGGTGCTCATTTCGATACCTGAGCAGACAGAAAACACAGATCATAAACCAGGGATCACACCACAACAAGAACCGAGGACAAGAAGATCACACCACAAACAAACCACGGAGGAATGAAAATAGTGCCACTACTATCAAAGGGTCAAAAAAAAAGGAACTCAAAAGGAACTCCACAAGCAAACCTAAGCATATGCAGGGTCTTTCCCCCATTCTCTCTCTCTCTCTCTCTCTCTCTCTCTCTCTCTCTGTGTGTGTGTGTGTGTGTGTGTGTGTGTGTGTGTGTGTGTGTGTGTGTGTGTGTGTGTGTCTTCCCCCTCTCTCTCTTTCTTCCTTTCTACTCTCTCTCGCACACACTCTCTTCCCCTACCTACTCTTTCTCTCGCTCTCACACACACACAAACACAGACACATGAGCACACATGCAAACAGAGTCTATTCGCAAGTGCGCACATGTTCCGAGACGTGGGCAAACCAACGAGCACACCTGTCGTCACGTGAGTATCAAAAGGTGTTCTTCAACATGAACACATCTAGTATGACCCCCCACAATCTCTCTCTCTCCCTCTCTCTCTCTCTCTCTCTCTCTCTCTCTCTCTCTCTCTCTCTCTCTCTCTCTCTCTCTTACACACACACACACACAAGCAGACATTCACATGCACATACACCAGCAGAGGAGTCGAGGGGAGGAAGACGAGGACGAGGGGAGGACAGAGAGGCTGAAGGAGGGCGGAGGGCAGCAATGATCCATGGCAGCATGTGTTGAACACATGTAGTCGGATGGAGTGTGGAGCACAGTGAAAGGTCCACACCACTTTTCAGGGACTCCACACACTGTGGTACAACGTTTTGTGTTTTTCTTTTTTAAGAAAGAGAGGAAACACAAACAAAAAGCATTTCTGGAACCCTTGAATGGACAGTGAGAAGTTCTTCGTAGCCTACTTTCCAGGGCCCTTCAGCATTCTTGTGTGTACTTTTTCACCTTTTTTCGAAGGCTGCTGATGTTCTCCCTATTGTTTCCTCCCTTTCTTTTCCCTTTGTTTAAGTTTTTCTTTTGAATTTTAACTGCCATTCATATATCATGCACGCAACTGATCATTTTAGGGGGACCTTCTTTTAAGTTCTAATGTCGTCATGTGTTATTTTATGAACTTCAGTTAGTTGAGGTAGAGCACGACTTTGAAATAACAATTTTTATTTTACTATTTTGACTATAACCACTTTTTTCAGAAGGTACCGAAGGTGATATTTCTTGCCGTGCACTAGACTTCCATAGAAAATCATCTTCTTGAATTTGGCTATGTCGAATAAAGAATTTTGCATTCCATTTCAGGGATTCCAAATATGTCATCTGCAATTTCTCCGATTCGTCGCCTCTACCACTTCTTCATTTCCACTTAAGGAATTTTCACAATTTCTTTTCTCTATTCTTTCCATCTTTGCTTGATTTCCACTTTTAGTCTTTTTACCCATGAATAGCACCATGTGTTATAATGTCACGAGAGAACTTCCTTCCGGGGGCTAGGTCCCACTTTCACGGATTAAGTGATTGTGGCCATATATAGCGAACATCGAAGGCCAAAAGCTCTTAATCCGTGCCAATGGGACTTCACCCCGGATAAGGAAAAAGAAGAAGAAAAGGCGCAAACAAAATAATAGCTGGCATACCCACTCTAAAAACAAAAAGATTCACTCCCAAATTAAATGAATTGGACCGTTAACACATCCCCCCCCCCGCTCCCCCCTTAACCTTCTTGTATCCATCAGGACTTGAAACTCGTGATTTGTTCCTCAGCAACAACTACACTAGGGATATCAGTCATCCAGAAGGCTAGGGACGATCAACAACAATAGACAGTAGACCTAATCTAAATCAAATCTAATGTAATCTAGTTTAACCTAATATGTATAACCCTAATCTAATCCTATCTATTGGTCCATTTGATCAGCACCAACAGATCTAATCTAGTCTAATCTTAGTCTTACCAAATCTAATCTAATCTTAAGTCTTATCTAATCTAATCTAATGTTAGTCTTATCTAATCTAATCTGATGTTAGTCTTATCTAATCTAATCTAATCAAATCGGCACCAATAGATCTAATATAATCTTATCTATTCTGATCTAATCTAATTTAATCACCAACAATAGATCTACTCTAATCTAATCTAATCTAATCTAATCTAATCTAGTCTAGTCTAGTCTAGTCTAGTCTAATCTAATCCAATCTAATTGAATTGAATCTTGTCGATTCCAATCTAATTGGATCTATAGACGAATCGAAGCTAATCCAATACAATATATCTAACCTCAATCGAATCGAGTAGATTCTATAGTCAAGTCCGATCTAGTCATATCAAATCTAATCTAATCCAATCTAATCTAATCTTAATCTTAATCTATTCTCAACTGATCTAATCTAACCTAATCTGATCAGCAAGAATAGATCTAATCTATAGGTCTAATGACTCTAATCTAATATAATCCAATCCAATCTAATCTGATCCTTTTTTTTTTCAACTTGCAGTTGTTAAAAAAAGAAAAACCTGGAAACCGGGACCAGCGTCCCTTGTATCAATGGAAATAGACGAATCGGAGCTAATCTAATATATCTAACCTAATCTAACTCCAATCGAATCGAATAGAATCGAATCGAATCTATAGTCAAGTCCGATCTAATCATATCGAATCTAATCTAATCCAATCTAATATAATATAATCCAATCTAATCTAATCTAATCTTAATCTATTCTCAACTAATCTGATCAGCAAGAATAGATCTAATCTATAGTCTAATCTAATCTATAATCCAATCCAATCTAATCTGATCCTTTTTTTTTCAACTTGCTTCTGTTAGAAGAAAAAACCTGGAAACCGCAACCAGCGTCCCTTATATCAATGGAACCCACACACACAACGCTTCTTTCTTCTTCTTCTTCTTCTTTTTTAATTTGGACCATTTCTCAATTTATGTGTGCCATCCTTTCGCAGGGGCCATGCTAATCTTCTCTGTATCGTTCCAATTTTAACGGATGTCACAGAGGACACAACGCTTCTTTCTTATTACAAGTGAAGTAAAACGAAAGGATGACTGACTTACCCTCTGCAGGAGTCTTTTTCTGTGCCAAGCCCCAATCATGGCTGCAGCGTTTGGGCGCCACGTTGATCTCCCCGCTGTAGTACTTTGGCGCCAATTCTCCTTTGTTCCAGACGGACACGAAGGAGCTGAATAGACTGTGGGACTCCTCAGAAGACAAGTCAGAGAAGAATACGCCTCGCACCTCCTTCAGCCACGTGGAGAATTCATAGTTGCGGCGGAAGTAGTCGTCGTCTTTGATCGGAGCGACCTGATTAAGCACCAACGCGGGCCGACAACCGAATCATCATAGCAAGAGTTAATTAAGCCGCCGCTGCTTGCGTCCATCTGTGCGAATCCGAATCTGACGCCTTCTGGACCTGATACGTTCAAAATGTTGCCCTCGTCCGAATGCACCTGGTCCAGAAAGCGTCCCAAAGCATGTGGAGTGTCGTGTAGTGGAGCCAGGCCCAAAAGAAAACGTGATCGGCACCGCCTTTTGGGGTTTCCTTAGGGACCAATTCACTCTGACTAGATTGACTGAACGCACAAAAAAATTGGAACTGGCGTGGGGCTATGTCCCATTAGCAGCATTGAGTTTCCTCAAAGCCCGAATCTGAACCCGTTTGTGGAGATGTGCAGTTGAGGGAACTCGACGCGATTTTCTGCACATCTCCACAAACATGTCCAGATTCCGGCGTTGAGTATTGTGTACAAAAAATTTTTTTGGAAAAATGGACTGGCTTGGTAGGGCTAAGAGAGTAGAAAGTGTGTACATAGTTTTGGAAATTTGGTTTTGAAAATTTGGACCCCCCGCCTTGGTAATAAGCCCAAGAATAGCAAGCGCGTGCATAGTTTTTTCAATAGCAAGCAACTGTACATAGTTTGTCCAACTTTTTCAAATAGCTAGTGTGTGCATAGTGTGTGGTCCCCCCCCCCCTTCCTTAGAAATAGGACTGGCTTGGTAGGGTCGAGCATAGCAAGTGTGCACACAGTTTTTTGGAAATTGAATTCAACTGCCTTGGTAGGACTGAGTGAACATAGCAAGTGTTTACATAGTTTGTTGGAAAATTGAGTTTTTTTAAAAACTACCTTCTTCCCCCAAACATAACACATATGTGTTGTATTCGAATTTTCAAATTAAAAAAAAAATGAATAGAATGCATATACGTTGTATTCGAAATTTTGGGCTATTCGAATACAACACGCGTGTCTTGTATTCGAATAGAACACACCCTATGCATTGTGTTCATTTACTACGCATATGAGTTATGTTCGGGGGACGAAGGTAGTCTCTACGTACTTTTGGAGAATCGACTTTCTGAATAGCTAGTGCGTACATAGTTTTGGAATTTTGAGTTTTGAATAGCTACTCTATACATAGTTTTGGAAACTGAGCTTTTGAATAGCTAGGACTGTCGCTCCCCAGAATGGAAAGGAGCCAGGACCATAAGGCGCTGTTTTTCTTTATAAAAAAAGAAAAAAAAGAAACTGAGGTTTTGAATAGCTAGTGTTTACAACGTTACATATTTGAATAGCTACCAGTCTATACATAGTTTTGGAAAACTGAGCTTTTGAATAGCTAGTGTGTACATAGTTTCAGGAAACGGGACTGACTTAGTAGGGCCCAGAATAGCAAGTGTGTGCATAGTTTTCGAAAGCATCATCACATCATATAGCAAAACCTATTGGCGAGTAAGCAGTCGTTCACAGGTAACCAGCATTAGCAAGCACAGGAAGGGCTGACAGAATAGGAAGTGTATTTAGATGGGGGGGAGATACATTTTTTGTACTTATCCCTTTTTGGCAGTTTTGCTCTTCCTTTCTTTCTTTCTTTTTCTTTTTTTTTTCTTTTTTTTTTTTTGCAAATTCAAACTTTCATTACCAGATGGAAACGAGGCCAGGGAACCTCACAAACAGCCCAGGTAAAGAACATACTGGAAGCATCATCCACTTTCTTTCTTTCTTTCTTTCTTTCTTTCTTTTTTACTTTTTTACTTCTTTTTTTTTTCTTTTTTTTTTTGAAAGAAAAATGCAGACTGTCTCCTCCAAAATGTAGCTGCCTCCCGATGGGGAGAAGACACTTTTTTTTCTTTTCTTTCTATCTATCTTTCGAAGGCTTTATTCAGCATCTCAGAAGGGCTCGAACCTAGGGTTGGCAGCAATTCTGCGAGGACACAGTGGAATCTATCCTGTGACCTTGTTATCATTAGACAATAGACAAATTACAATAGCAACAAAAAAAAAAGTTTAGTCAAATTATTATTGATTTTCGCTTATAATATATCGCCAAACAGAGCTGCCTACGGTAAAGCGTAGACAGAGAGGGACAAAGAAGAGGACAACAAACGAGGGGCTGTGACAAACTGTTTCGTCGGAGTTTCACCGACTCATCAGTAGTAGGCTGAACCCTCAACAGTCTGCAGAGTCCCCTAACTAAATTGTAAGGGATCATCCACCTTAACCCCGGTTGTGCTTGAGCATCAACGACTGCCCGACAACTGATACCCTGAGGCGGGCACCAACCACTGCCTCAAGGTACCTGTGACGAAAACCAAAGCAGACTATCACTCGCCCACACCAGATGGAAAACTCTACGCACCGTCGGTTCACACCCCATCATATATCGTCAAATAGAACTGCCCGGTAAACCGTAGGCAGAGAGGGAGAAGAGGACAACAAACGAGGGGCTGTGACAA